TCCCAATACTGGTATTGTATTCGGATCCATGATTTTTTGGAAATCCTGATTTTTTTTCCAGGTCCAACAGACCCAAGGGAGGAGGGAAATAGCGGCAAAGCCAGAAGAAAAACAGCTGACAGAAGGAGCAGATTGCTCCCCCATCAGCTGTTTTTTATGCTTCCCACTGCATTCCTTTTAAACAGGTGGCGTTTAAAGGGATTGCAGAAGACAACTCAACAAACAGCTGACCTGTGGGGGAGCAGTCTCCCCGTGGGGCTCAGCTGATATTCAGGCTGGCTTCTCCTGCAGCCCCCATTTAAACGAGGCTGCAAGAGAAGCCAGCCAGCCCAAAGCTGATCCGGCAGCGAGTGCTCTGTTTCTCACTGGCTCAGCTGAGCTTAGGGCTGGCTTCCTGTGCAGCCTCATTTAAATGGGGCTGCAGGAGACGCCAGCCCAAAGCTGACCCAGTGGGGAGCGCTCTGCTTCCCGCCAGCTCAGCTGATCCTCAGGCTGGCTTCTGCAGCCCTTTGAACTTTAAAGGGACTGCAGTAGAAAGCCCAACAAATAGCTGAGAGGCGGGAGCCACGCACTCCAGCCTCTCCGCTGTTTTTCAGATCTACCCCAAATACATCTGGGGATTTTTTTCAGGATTTTTCCCCCCTGAAAAATCCTGCTATATTTTTGGATTGGGTAGGTCTGAATGCACACCCCTAGTACGGAACACTCCATTCCATGCTTGTGTAATTAATACAAGAGCCCCCACACTGTTTGGAAAGTCCCTCCTATAACACTGTAGATAAAAATACTGACATAGGTGTTGCAAAGAGCAACAGGAGCACAGAATAATCCAATTCTGACCTGCTAAAAGCCTTTAGGATAGCATGAGGAACTGTCTACAATCTGCTTCCAATCTCAGCAGTGCAGGCCTACCACTAAAAATGAAGGATTAAGTTCCTCGGGTGCATATTACAGTATTCTAAAGGGCAACCTTAATTTATACTTTCATATCTTGCCGCCATTTCTTTTAGCAAATCATAGTTATGGTTCACTTTAATTAGACAACTTTTCATTGGAAATCAAAATTCAGATGTTCATGGCTATTAGTATCATACAAGTGGGAAGCCGCAAGGACTTGCAGGAGGCGTCTCACTTCCCCCTCTCCCACGATTTTCTCTTTCCTGAAAGCCCCCATAGCCTCTCTTCTTTTCCTGCTTCCTTTTCTCCTTCTAGGGTTGCCAACCTCTGTGTGGTGGGGTGGAGATCTCCTGGAATCACAACAGATCTCCCACCTACAGAGATCAGTTCCTCTTAGGGTTGCCAGATCGAGACTGGGAAATCCCTGGATATTTGGGGGTGAAGCCTTAGGAGGACAGGGACCTCAGTACATTGCCATAACGTCCACCCTCCAAAGCAGCTATTTCCTCCAAGGGAACTGATCTCTGTCATCTGGAAAGCAGTTGTAATTCCAGGTGATCTCCAGCCGCCACCTTGAGGTTGGCAACCTTAGTTGCCATAGAGGAAATTGATGCTTTGTAGGGTGGCGTCTATGGCATTATACCCCTCTGGGGTCTCTCCCCTCCTCAACACCCTCCCTCCCAAAATTTCTAGGAATTTCCTAACCTCTATCCATCTTCTTGGCAATCCCCATATCGTCTCCCTGCCTCATTCTCTCCTTCTCAACCGTTCACCAACCTACTTTTTATATGCCTCCCTTCTTCAGCTATATTTATTCTTTATTTACTTACCTTATTCTCTTTTCCTTTTTATCCACACAACAACCCTGTGATGTAGGTTAGGCTGAAAGTATGTGACTGGTCCAAAATCAACCAGTCAGCTTCCACAGCAAGATGGGGATCTGAACCTGGGTCTTGCAGACTCTAATCTAAAGCTCTAACTGCTACACCACACTGGCTTTCACAGGCTGCCAACCTCCAGTGTATTTTTTTTAGACTTCACATTTTTCTGCAAACCTATGGCCCTTTTCAGGTTTGTAGGAAGATCTATCTTGCCTGTCCACAGCTCCAGTGAATGGACTGAAGTATACAAAGATATCCAGACTTCGCTATTAGGATATAAGATGCAGAAATCACTATCTATAGCATTTGTGAACATACAGTCCAACAACTCAGGTAATGCTTATGTGATCATCATCATGGAAGTGTACAATCATTTTGTAGAAATCCAAGTTAAGAATCTAAGCAGGAGGCTCACTGCTTCAACCTCATTCACTGTTGTCGTGGGAATAGAGGTCCCGAGGCCTCTTGAGATCACTTTTCATACAAAGTTACACACTGCAAACAATAGATGGGGGGGAAAAGATGAATACAAACCTTGCACTGTTGGAGCTGCCAGCAGAGTGTCATTAATCTGTAGCAGAAACAATAATAAAACCTCCCATGTTTCTCGAGCCATGGTGGTGGACTCATGAGCCAATTTCTGGACAGCTTTCAAAACTTGCAAACACAGTTTAACCTGACTGGAGCCTTGATCCTGCCTGTAGCCAAAGAAACAGCTCTTAAGAACAAGCTGCGGAACACTTACACTTAAAATCCTCAAAATGACAGGGGTTTTATTTTAATGAAAGCAGAAATCCTCATAAGCTATATCATTTTAAAAGGCTCTCTCATTTAAAACAGCATTAAGAGCCACTCAGCATAGACAGATTTGCAGACATACAAATCATGCAATAATTGCATATGCATGTACCAACTCGCAGATCATGGTCCAAAAAGCACACGATGCCACAGCCTCGCTAAAGCTAAGTACATCTGGGCCTGGGATTTGCCTGGAAGAGGGTTTACCTGACAGCACTATGCAGCCTACCTAAAGCTCCATGGAAGAAAGGTGGGGTATTAATATAAATTATTCATGAACCTTTGAGCAACCAGGCTGAAAATAACCTGCTAGAGTCTTGATACAATTCCTACAAGAAGTGATAGTATATGAAGTGACCTGTAATCCAAAAAATCTTATGCCTCAAAA